CGAAGTGGGGGAGCACAGCAGGATGAAGTTGCCAGCATGCTCTGCCAGCCTCTGGCGATTTCTGTCCAGGGGTCTTCTCAGGCCAAAGTGTGATATTCTATGTTATGTAATTACTTACTGTTTAGTTATTTAGCACATAGTTAAGCAACTAAACCACCATGCCTCTGCCCAGTACAGAAACCATACAATAATCCTATTACTAAAGCAGTTACAATCCTAGATTCCATTGAGGCTGATTTTAAGAAGTCACAGTATTTTTCATCTCACAATATAAAGCAAAGACAAAAATTATTTACAGGCATTACATGTACATTTCGATACTTAGGATGCTAGAATTCAAACATTATCTTTCCTTTTTTTTAATCTGTTACCCCAGAGCAGATAATTGCAATGCTGTAATTACAACAGGTCTAATTTATTTCTTTTACCCTTAGGCTAAGGAAGTTTACGTGTAGATTAAAAAAAAATAGTAAATGTCACACATTAATCTCATAAAATCCCATTATATATATATTGTACAATAACTTTATTGTTCAAAGACACAAAGACTCAAAACTTAATTCAGCTTCAAGGCTTTAACTTTTAAGGGCAGGCTAAACCGGTACCGTAGCAACAAAGCAACCAGGCCACTCCTGATTGCAAAGCCGATTTAATGCGGGTTTACACCTTGAGGATAACACGAAACCAGAAACACACAGTGCTGAACCTGCACGTGGCACTGGCGGTTTACGAAGGGACAGACAAGTAGCCTGGTCAGCAAACCAAGTGCTGCCTTCAGGTATCCAGTACAGCTGAATTAATGGGGCCCTTCCAGGTACCAAAGAACTGGATTCAACACACCATAGGAAAAAGGACAGCTTGCTGTACTGATCTGTCACTGAGAACACCTTTGGCAAGCGACTGGTCCCTTTCATGTCACTGATTCATTCCATGGAGCAGCCTATTGCACAGCAATAAACCACAAGGACAAGTGATTTAATTAAATTAAAACTCTATATAAGAACTAGGAATTAACTGAGCTCTTGACTTGATCCTGTTTGTAGACTACAGTCATAATGATTTCACTTTAATTAGAAACTCATTTCCTTGTATCTTTAGTCTATAAGGAGCTGTATTAGTGGGCTAAGTTAACAAAGCAAGTTTTTAATTAGCCACAGAAGAATAACTTGCAAGTTTACATCAAATGTATTCAGTACCCAAGTGCCATATGTCTGGAAAGGATACGTATTATTTCTCAAATAAGGAGCTGAACGTCTGTGCAAAGAATAAGAATGCAAGTCAAATGAACTGCAGCATTCTGACAGCATGTCATGGATCTGCACGATTCCTAGCTGATCCAGAGAGCTACTATACATTTCTGCCATTTATATCCAACATTTTCCTCCCTTCCCCTTCACTGGTATAGTTTTAGAAATAAAAAAAGCACTTCTGAAATAAGTACCTGGCCATACTCAAGGTTCCTTTACACACAGCATTTTGGTTACATAAAAAAAAACTCATAACAGCACAAGGTCCTGGGATTAAATGAAGCTTAAAGTGTGACAAGACTAGAAAGCAAAAAAGCTTCTCAGTTCAGTTGACATGACTTTGACTTGCTGTTATATTCTTTCACTTTTAATATATGCTAAATATTATCTCAAAACTAACATTTAGACATAAGATTTGTAAGACCTTTAAAAAAGCAGTGTCAGAATATGCAAATACTTCAGAATATTGATATTGTAACACATGCTGCTTTAAATTTCGTTACTTCAAATGCAAATACAAAAAAACCCCACCACTCTTAAGAAGAGGCAAAAGCTTACCTGTGCATGAAACAAAGCTAATCCCTTTGCAGTATGCATGGGAATCAGAACTTTCATAAGGAACTGTTTGTGTTCTGCTTTCAGTGGCAGTGCAAAACCATTGATAATACTGAAAACATGAATAAGCAGGATTTATTTTTATTAAAAATTAATTTTTTCCTAGCAAGTAAAGAGTTTCTGTAAATTCAAGAGACATTCCATTTCAGAGTCAATTTCTAAACCTGATTATTTTGAAGCCATAAAATAGCTCTACATATGCACAATCTTGAAAGTGTGGTACCGAGTGAGCTTAGACTCTTGGTTGGAATACCAGAGCACCATAGTAGAAGTCAAATAATACTCATCAGATAGGCTGAAGTATTTTTATCATGACCTCCAATAAGTAAAATCACCTACAGTAAGTCTTGCTGTCTAACTGTAAAGTTCAGAGAGATGCATCAGGAAGCTGATTCACTTCACCCACAATCACTAGCAACTTGCAGAGAAAAAAAAGCAGATGGCATACAATTTTGAATTGTTTTAACAGTTCCTAGTGCAGTTTGAACATTTGTTTTGAGATTGTGGAACAACCTCTCCCTCCAAAAACAAAAGTTAAAAACTTCTCTCATTGATTCAGTAATCTTATTTTTAAGAGTTGGAGTCGTAGAACAGACTAAAGTCCTTCAGGAAGAGGTTGGGGTTTTTTCCCCCCCTACATTTTACATAAATCTGAGAAAATAATGGTATCCCTTTCTCTTGATTTTCATGAAAATTTGTTCCACAATAGTTCCACAATGTTTGGATTTTCAGTGAGACCAGTAATATTTATACTGGACCAGTACTATTTATACAATAATTTTCTACTGTGAAATATATGTGATAGCTTTGGAAAAACAGTAAAAAACTTCAAAGCTAAAAATTATTTACCACAAAAAACTTCAAAGTTAAAAATTAACCACAAAAAAACCCCTTCAAAGTTAAAAATTAGTGAAATAGCAAAAAAAGATAACTAAAAAACCCTGGCACTTACAAGGCTTTCCTAAAAAGAATTTAAAGAAAACCAGCTTGATGAAGATTGAAGCATTTCATTCAGCATGAGGGCAAAAGTTAACATTCATTTTCTGAATCAAAGAACAAGTCATCTATCAGATATAAGATAAGCAAGAGTAGATATTCCTGACAAAGAAGGGCCCTTGAGAAATATTTTGCCAGTCATCTTTAGAACTTGCACCAAAAAAAATTATACTGTATATCCTAATTTGATATTCACATGGTTACCCAAACAGTATTAGATTTTATCAGTGACTGCACTTCATCACACATTTCTTCCCCCCCGCCATTCCCAAAGCAAGAAAGCTGAAGCAAACACCCACAATAACATTTTATATTTTTTCTGTGTCAGATCAACCTTACCTTCCTAATATCTCAAGAAGTTCAGCAACACCATTGAAGTGCTCTGTTTCATATATAAACCTGTTGTGAAAAGAGACAACCATCAAAAAAACCAAAATAGAGGATGAGAGATTCCAAAGAAGTAACTTTTAATAGGCTTCAAATACTTGAAAGCTAGATCACAGACCAAACCCAGGTCTTCTATTTCAAGAATAAATCACTGCAGACCCAGACCATGAAGGCAAGATAAAATATTCCTCAAGCCAGTCACACACACAGCATACCTGAGGAAAATGTTGTTAATCTGTTTCCTGATGAATGCTCTTAAACCAAGGAATTTTCCATAAATTCGATGAAGAACTGTCTTCAGGAAATCACGTTCTCGTGGGTCTTCACTATCAAAGAGCTCCAACAACTGTAAAAATTGAATTGAAATGTATTAGTTTTGAAAGACTTAACTCTAACCGATTTGAGTTTTAATTTAGAAGTTTACATTAGAAAAATTAGAATCAGTTTAACCAAAAATTTTGGTTTTATGTCAATATTGTATTATCAAAATTAGATTTTTAATAAAACTGATTATTTTTTAAGAAAATAAACCCAGCAACTTGGTTCCCTTCAAAAGTCTGCATATAACAGACAAAGCCATTCCAACAAATATTACACTATCAAAATAAAAAGGAAATTGTAAGAATGAGATTATCAAACCTTAGGTAAGTGGTTTATACCTGGTCTTTAAGAAATCAGAATGAATCCAATCTGTGTCAGATATTTACAGTTTCTTAATTAAAATCCTGTACTGCTCATCTCAAAAAGCACATCCCTTGTGTCTTGAAGGTAAGCAAAAGCATTCCTATCCAGGAAATTTCACCATTAATGATTTCATTGGAGGGGCTCATAAGCATAAGATGTGCAATTACTAACTGATTCTCTACTAATATAGACTAAATGATAGAATTAAATCTGGTCAAGGGCATCAAGAAAAACTTCTACAGGTACACTGGTGAGAAAAGGAAGACTAAGAAAAGTGTGGGCCCTCCCTGGAAAGAAACAGCAGACCTGGCTACCCAGGATATGGAGAAGGCTGAGGTACTCTAATGATTTTTTTTGCCTCAGTCTTCACCAGCAAGTGCTCCAGCCACACCACCCAAGTTGCAGAAGGCAAAGGCAGGGGCTGGCAGAATGAAGAACCACCCACTGTAGGAGAAGATCAGGTTTGAGACCATCTAAGGAACCTGAAGGTGCACAAGTCTATGGGACCTGATAAGATGCACCCACGGGTCCCGAGGGAACTGGTGGATGAAGTGGCTAAGCGACTATCCATCATGCTTGAGAAGTTGTGGCAGTCCGCCAAAGGTCTCACTGACTGGAAAAGGGGAAATGTGACCCCCGTATTTAGAAAGGGAAAAAAGGAAGACCTGGGGAACTACAGGCCAGTCAGTCTCACCTCTGTGCCCGGCAAGATCATGGAGTGGACTCTCCTGGAAACTATGCTAGGGCTCAAGGAAAATATGGAGGTGATTGGTGACAGCCCACATGGCTTCACTAAGGGCAAATCGTGCCTGACAAATTTAGTGGCTTTCTACAACAGGATTACAGTGTTGGTGGACAAGGGAAGCACAACTGACATCATCTACCTGGAGTTGTTCAAAGTATTCGACACTGTCCCACACAGCATCCTTGTCTCTAAATTGGAAAGACATGGATTTGATGGATGGTCACTCGATGGATAAGGAATTGACTGGATGGTCGCACTCAAAGAATTGCGAACAATGGCCCAATGTCTGACTGGAGACGAGTGGCGAGTGGTGTTCCTCAGGGGTTAGTTTTGGGACCCGTGCTGTTTAACATCTTTGTTGGCGACATGG